GATGAAAATGAAATGAAATATCCAAAAGATTAAAAAAATAATTCTTTGGAAGACCAAAACAAGAGTCTTCGTATAATTTTAAATTATTGAATGTACTATCTAATTTGTTTAGGGAAATATGAGCTAGTCTTTGGAACTGTGTCTTATTGAAGCCATTGCTTGCTGACTCTAACTGCCTTGGTTTCCTCAAATGAAATTAAGACCGTTTTTTGACTATTCTAGAAAGATTGATAGTTTCTCCTTACCAAACATTCTCCCAAAGGCACAAGAGAATGAATTCCTGCTGCTAATAATGATAAGCCAAAGCAGCCCATTAAATTCCTTTTTAAGTTTACACATTTTACCCTAGAGATCTAGGGAAAATATGTAGATTGCTCCTCTCTTTGTTCAAATATGACAATAATATGGCAAGTTTATTTACCACTTGAATGAATGAAAATATTTGCCACTACCTCACTGGTTTATTTTGCAAGACCGTGAGAATGATCATCACCCTGAAACATCTTTTCTGAATTAAAGAGACCTGACACTCCATATCAGAACCTCTAGGTTGGCGTAAGAACAGTTTAAGAATAGAGGCGTTCACAAACATGTAGGTATGGAAGGCAACAGAGATCCGTGCCCACCCTGTCAGCTGGCATTCTCCAGAGATATCTAGAATAACGAAAAAATAGGTGGTGCCGAGCAACATGTACAGATGATTGTTGGTAGAAAATTTAATACGTAGAAACATTTTATTGTATGAATTGAGTTTTCATGAAACATGGAAGTCTGAAAGTGCTTCTGATCCATCACATTAATTTTTCCTACTTCAGACGAATGTGCTCTGTGATGAAAGGTGACAGATACTCCTATTTTATCACCAATACTGTGATTTTCATCCCATGGACACAGACCAAGGGTCTTAAACAAGTCCTGGTTCTAAAAATCATTTCTCTTAGTCCATCTCTCAAATTTTATTTTCATTGCCAAGATCTTGCCGCAGGCCTTAAAAACATCATAGATTTCTCTACAGTTGTGAACGAAGGATATCCAACATTGCAAAAAAAAAAAAATCTGCTAAAAACGCCATGACATAAATAAGCATTTATCTATCCTATATAATTTTCTCCCTTTGTCATGCATTTATTTCTCAATCAAGAAAAACTAAAACTCAGCCTTGAAGTTGAAAACTCAAACAAATATATATCCTCAGCATCATAAAACAAGTTTTCAGAATCAATCTCTCTTTTACTGTACATTTTTCTAAAAAAGATGAATATTCAAGCCAAGGCTTCTTTCCATTAATTTTAATCACCACTGTTTTATCACTTCATTGACTACACTGAGGGAAATCCACAGGCAAGCTCCTTTGGACTAGAGGTTCTCAGCCAATGGAGCATCTCTGACTGAAGGATTTTAGACGTCAAACAGCCTTGATGGCGCCTTCTCTTTCTGGAGTTTTGCCCATCGGTTTAGACTGGTCTGTGAAGAATGTTTCTGCATATTCTCAGAGAACATTAGCATGCACCCTATGACTGTGTCAATAAGAATGTCTTTTTCAGCTTGGCTCCTTCTTTTTAATCCAGAACTGATTTAGTCAAATCTAAATTGCAGGACTTCTTCCTACTAATATATGAGCTTTATATTCTAAAGCAATAATGGAAACTGACCTTGAGGTGTGT